TGTAAGGCTGACTTTCTCCAAACCAAATAGCATTGAATAAAGAGGAGGACCGTCCTTGAGGTACATTAGTCATCAGTTCTGAATGGTTGGGGGAAACAAATGGACCTCGATCATTGCAAACGATTTAGCATTTAAGCAAGTTTTCTTATTGAGCCTGAAATAGATTTTGGAACCGAGACAACAACTTATTGTGGGGAATACAAGTTAGAGCGAGCGGTGGGATATTCGTCTGGATAAATAACAGCGTTTGAAATGTCACAAGCTTTAGTTAGTTAACATCTAGGATTTGTTCTTTAAGGTCTAGATTCTCAATCCAATCTTTCAGTGCTGTTGGACTGCTTTTTTTTAAAATGCGACCAGAAGGAAATATGAAATATAAGCATCATAATTTGTTTTACAGACTGGAACGAATGTTACTTTTGCAGGTTGTTTAGATCAGGTTATAACGCGCACTCAAACATTTCACGTTGCTCACATGAATGGTTAAACAGAAACCTTCCAATTGCAAAGTCTAACTTTCGGCATGCTTCTAATGATTTGTTTACACAACACGCTATAGCGCAAGTAACATTAGAGAGTTACTGTCCCCTGTCGTGTGCACACAGATTTACCACAAACATGTGGAGATATCATAATTCTAAGTAGATATTATCCCACGAGACAGTTTTTTTNAGGCAGCAGCTGCGAGATGAGTTAAATAAAATGTTGTTTCCAATGCAGATTTAAAAATACTCTCGACAATTATGCCCAGATGCTGCGTGCAAGGTAAGCCATGCATTAATAGTCATATATGACCTATATTTTTCTCGAAGGTTGGACACTTTATTATGATAATAATAGTAATAATAATAATCCTTGCATTTGATATAGCGCTTTTCATGTCTTCTAGACGTCCCAAAGCGCTTCACAGAATATACTGTAAAGTGAATTGACTGTATATTTGTGGGCGAACGCGCCAGCCAATTGATGATGATGATGATAGTAATAATAATTCTCGCATAAGATGCAGCGCCTTATCACTTTATTGAGACGTTTCACAGCGGTTCACGGAATATACTGTAAAGTGGAGTGACTCTATTTTGTGGGCGAAATTTTCCATATAAAAGCCGTGGACAACTTTACAACACGAGCGGAATATTTGCGTTTCCCCCTTAAGGGTTAGGCGACTCTGGATGCCTTATGCAATCAGACACACTCACACTCAACTCACATACATGCTTAGGTGTGTGTTCATTCTGATAGAGGTTTCCGCAAATTGCGGTTGTTTCGTGTTAACTTAGACTCCCATGCAGTAAACATTGGGAGTCTGTGGGTATAAGTATCGCGCATTCTACCCTTTATGAGTTGAGCATGATTTACACTCGGGCTGATTTTCGAACTGGACAGGTCGAAAATGAGGAGCGTTGAATAAGGGAGTTTTCATCCCATCAGCATCGTGGGTTCATTCTGAAAACACGCCTGTTTTTTCTTGTTTCGAAATGTCAACTGATCATGAAATGAACAATGTCCATTTGAAATTAAATTAATAATGTTCATTTCATGACAATTAAATCAATTAAAAAAGAGGATTATTGCCCATCATTACCTCCCCCCACCCAAAAAAATATCTCTCACATACGCTCTGCTCCCCCCCTCTCTCACACTCACATATACATTCACACAAACCATCACTAACGTCAGACTGAAAAACGCCAGCGATTATATTGACTCTCTATTCAGTTCCAGAAACGGCGCGTTGCACATCTTTTCAACAAAAAAAATTGACCGAAAGCAAACAAAAAAAGGGCGAGGAAATTATCTACAATTTTGGGGGGAAGTTGGCTGCACCTGTTGGGTAATTAACTATTTAGCCTCTCGCTTCTCTTTTTTTTTGTTGGTGTGAGCCAATATGCTTTCATCGCCCGAGACCTGAATTGTGTCTCTGATACATTTTGTAAAGGCTACGCATTCTCCTCACAACGGGAGAAAGTAAACCTGCAGAAAGGAAGCATTTCTGCTCATACAATGGGGGGATTTGATTCACACTGCAGAGACGGGGAGTAATTATAGGCCGTTAGAGAACGCCAGTAGCTTCCTGCAGGCTCCTTTTATATATATATTTTGCCCCCTCAAAAAAAGCAATTTGGAAAATAAAATCGTGCTGAAAGTGGTCCAAATGTGTGTTTAGATGCCGACAGCCTAGCTCGACTCGACACGACGGGGGGGAATGAATTAAGACAGGACCCGTCGTCAATGGGCAAATATTGAGGCTTCGATTAACGTTGAGACTAAATTGAGGGCTTGATTCACAAACTTCACCTGTTTCATTCAAACGCCAAATTTTGCTCCAAACGCCCCGCAAAAAAAGGGTCTAAAACATGTGTGGTCGTTCATGGCTTACTCGCTCGTCTCTGAACGATACTAAAATTGGAGACAAACAGAAACACCAAACAGAAACTGCGCCAGTCCAACACTTTATTATACTTCAAAATAAACAAAAAAAACTCAGCATCACAGTTGTTTACTGTGTGTGCGTTTAAGAAATTGACATTGTTAACAAAAAAAACACATGGTCAGCAAATCTTAAATACAGTCAATATACAGGGTGACCAAAAAAGGCGTGATATCTACCTTTATCATCTATACATACAAAACAATCATTTCTTTAAGACTTATTAAACATTACAGTGATATCACGACTTTTTGGTCACTATATATATATATATATTACTAGTGGGTTGAATGTAATGTAGGTTCAGATCAGTCCTGTACACAGAATATTAAACTGGTAAAACAACAAACTGCCATTCGTGTTGCTAACGACTCGTTCGATTGTTTGCATTTCATGTATTGCCTTTCCCCCAAAGCGTCAGTCGAGAAAGAGAGAAAAAGCCTGGGATCGAGTTACTTTCTTGTATGTTCCCCTTCAAGGTTAACAAGCAAACAAAGGACATCTCAGCCTCCCCACATGCTTCCCAACACCTTTAAACTCTCCCCTCCCCTCAATAGGTGTAGTTGAGCCAAGTAACTGGACGTTTAACTCACAGCTGTCACCTGAAGTGGTCCCCATACTCTCTCCCCCCCCCCCCCTCTATTTCTCTCTCCACACACCCCATCAATCATTTTTCTATTCACACGTGCAAAGATAGAAATACATGTGTTTTTCCCTTGAAGCGTTTGTTTTAAGCGTCTGTTGGATCGCGTTCTATCCGCGTTACACAATATTACAAATATCAGCTTCGTTTTAGCAAACCTTTCTCATTCTTCTATATGCCCCCCCATACCCCTACCCCTTCCTCCACTTCCCCATCTCCGCGCCTTCCTCAAAATAATACTTCAGCAAATTCAGAGATATGCACGACACCCCCCCCCCCCCAACTAAGTTCTGTTCCATTTTCTCCCACCCAGATTTCCCTGTAACGCAAATTCTAAGTCTAACACCCCCCCACCTTCCACACACATACACACACCGACTATAGATATGACACAAATCCACAAATTAAGCGAGGAAATACATTTCATGGCTTTCACAAAACCGATGCATCTGATTCGTCAGAGTATTAATTCTCATTTAATAACATTATTAATCGATACCTCAATTCCCCCCCCCCTTTTTGATACCCAGTCCCCTATAAATAAATACCTGGTATTGTCCCGCTGTGATTCCCTTTATAAAGAGAGCGAGAGAGAGAGTGAGAAAGAGTCAGCAGAGAGAGAGGGATGGGGTGGGAGAGCCATGAAAGCGACAGAGAACTTGCCTCCTGTGACAGGACTAAAGACATTTTTTTTATATATAATTGCAGTAGGTAGGAGAATGCGATTGAAATGGCATTGATTCACAGATAGTGGAAGAAGAGATTGGGTGTAATTAAGGGATGGAGAATTACGGTAAATGTTCCAAACGCTTTCTCTCCCCCCTCCCCCCCCCCCCCCCTGACCCCCACACTCACACATACAAATCCATATTCTTTACATTGGTTCCATAATACAGTGACTCACGTTAAAAATCAACACCCATCCTCTCCTCTATTCGCGATGGCATATCTGTATCACGTGAAGCTGTACATGCTTTGCTAAATACAACTATTAAGTGACATATTTTCAACGTATAAGTCTAGTATAGTCAGGGTAGAGGCCTGATTTTGTTGTGTGTTTCCCCCCACCCCTGCGCCCCCCCGAAAAAAATACTGTCCTGTACACAAATATCGCCTGCTGAAAGAAACAGAAAATTCGAGCAGCTTGTTTTTCCACCCCCACACACATACATCATCCCCAGAAGAACATTTATAGAACAGGGAACAGTAATTTGTGAGGGGGGGGGAGTAATAATCATTTCGTTTGTTTAGAAACTCCCTTCTCTCTCCCCCCGTTCCCTCCCACCAAGAAAAAGGATTTTTTGAAAGAGTCCGCCATTGCTGCTGGAGTAATGGGGGGGGGGGAGAGAAAAAGAGAGAGGGGGGAGGGGAAAACGAGAGGGAGAGGGAAAGATAGAGAGGGAAAGATAGAGAGAGAGGGGGAGCGAGAGAGAATGAGAAAAATAGAAAGAGAGGGAGATAGAAAGAAAGAAAATTTCATAGCATGTTATAACGTGTTTGCATGAAACTGTCTTCTGAACTGTGTCGGATGGGCTGTCCGCATCTTTCATTAACTCAGTCTAATTAAAGTTCATTAGAGGACCGCCGGCGGCTCCTTCTGATGAAACAAACCCGGCGCCCAATGGGGCGGCTGACAGGCGGCAGCCAATTGGATAGCATTACATATCAGATCCATATGCATGAAGCGGCCATGCAAATCCAGAAGTTTTCCTTAATTTCACGGGGAATTCTCTCAACTTAACCCCCTTCTCCATCTTCTTTTTCTTCTTCTCCATCTTCTTCAGGTTTTTTTTTCTCTCTTGCGCTATGTGTGTGTGTGTGTTTGTGTTTGACTTAGCTTAACTAACAAGTGGCAGATTTTTTTCTCTCACTCACTCATTCTCTCTCTGTCCCCCCCACCTTTCGACTTGGGGAAGAAAGGAGGGAAGGAAAGAAAGGAAAGAGAGAGAGAGAAAGAGAGAGAGAGAGTGGCTGCTTTTGGAACCTGGTTGGCGATTGACTCCGTGTCAGTTTCATGTGGTGTGTCAATTTCATGTCAGTTTTCTCCACGCTGACTGCCAGTCAGCGCCTTGGACTTTGCCGTTGATGATGACTATGACTGCTATGGCCGACGGTCTACTCGGACCAGACTCATCCAAGTCGGCCTTTTTGGAGTTTGGACACCCGGTTCAACAGCAGCCCTCACCTGTCATGTCCCATGGACATTACCACGGCTTACACGCCAGCGGACTTAATCAACACGATGCCTCCTTCCCAGGTGCCTCCTCATATGGCAGATCCCTGGGTTATCCATACCCAACCGCAGTCAGCAATCACGCACCCAACCCGTATATCTCCTACCAGAACAACAGCAGCAGCACTTTGAGTCACACAAGGTTAGAGGACACGGGTAAGAACTTTTCGTTTAAAAAAACATTTCCCCCACCTCCACCCTGTCCCCCCCCACCCCCAACACCCCACCCCCAACACCCCCCAAAAAGTAAATCAAACTTGTTCAATTTAATGCGATGGGTTTCGATTGTCACTCAAGTTATCTCTCTATCTGTCTCTCTATTTATCTATCTATCTATCTATCTCTGCCGTATGTGTGTCACGGCGCCTGTGTGTTTGAGTGCTTCCGAGATTTTCTCTCTCTGTGTCTGTCTCTCTCTCCCAGGCCTGGCTGACGAGGTTATTTATATTCACAAAACGCGCGTTAATTGAGGTCTGGAAATAGACTGGCGTAATTAGGCAATTTAGCCTCTCGAAAATGAAGGGAAACTGACGAATATTATACCGTACAATAAATACATTGACCTGACGTTGCAGACTCAATTAGAGTTTCGCCCGAGAAATTCTCTCGCATTCTCCCCGCAAAACCTCACCATACAACCCGGTTAAACCGACTTATCGGGGAGGTTGTGTGTGTGTGTGTGTGCGGTAGGGGGTGTAATATATTCCTCTATCAAACAAAATAACTTCGTAATCAATGTTTTTTTTTAGTGTTCAGAATTAAAATGGACTTATCACAATCTTCTCAGTGCATCCAGTTTCTGTTTTGTTTTAAGCATTTCAGTAGAATGACATAGTTTCATTTACTATTCTCTTTCTTTCTCTCTCTATCTCTCCCTCCTCGAGCTCAATCAACGCGGTTTCTCTGTCGCACTTTTCTTTATTTAAAGATAAGGTGAGGAAGGTACTTTTTAACCTACCCCCCAAAAAAAAATCGGATTGTGGTTCAAATGTATTTTTTTCCTTCCCCCCACCCCCCAATCCCCTCCACACACACACAACCCTTCTCGCTTTTCCTCTCCATTTCCATTGAAGAACACGAGAAAACAATCATCGAAAACGGGGAGATCCGATTGAACGGCAAAGGGAAAAAGATTCGGAAGCCCAGGACCATATACTCCAGTCTGCAATTGCAAGCTCTCAATCATCGCTTCCAACAGACCCAGTATCTGGCATTGCCTGAGAGAGCAGAACTGGCAGCTTCGCTCGGACTCACCCAGACACAGGTAAAAAATAATAATAAATTGCTGTCGATTCCCTGAATCAACTCCTAACACAGAAGGGTCAAACTCCCATTTATTTATTTATTTATTTATTTATTCATCCATTCATTCATTCGTTCCTGCTATTGTCTCAACTAATTGCAGCTACAGCGAGCGAGTGAGCTTCGTGTGAGAAACACAAAGAGTCACAATTATTTGTTTGAAAGAAAAAAATCTTCAAATGTACACCCACGGCCCAACCATATATATTTTTAACATATATATATATTTACATATAGTATATATAAATAAAAATAAGCTCCAGTTTTAAGCGATTGTATGAAAGGCACTTTAATTGCGAAGCGGTGAGTTTCTGAAACGGATTCACTTGCGCGGTGGTTTGGCGTTACAAGGGCTGAATTAGAATTTTTTAAGCAAATGCATTTAATCCCGCGTTAGGCTGTTGGGACCGCGTCTAAATGTAATGTGCAGCTTCGATCTGCCAGGTGTTTTTTAAGCGAGGAAGAAAGATAGCGAGAACAATAAGGATCGAAGCGAAAAACATTGGCAACCAGGCATTTAATCACTTCAATAAAATGGCAGATGGGACATATACTTTGAGGTATAGAGTAGACAGTGTTTCTCTCTCTCTGTTCCTGTTGCAAAGATATTTACTTGTGCCATCGACTTTGCTGGGGCTTTATTCGAATTCTTAACTTGCAAAATAAGTCACAGTGGTTGTTTCGCTGCGCACTTGTGCAATGTGGGGAACCTGGTTTTGTGCGGCTCGATCAACAGTTGAGGAATTCACTGGGGAATCATTGATTGAATTTCCCGAGAATGAACATGGAAAAACAACAGCGCCTGTTAAACGCTTGTTTTCCCCCCACCACATCCAACATTGTTAATTTGAGACAATTCGCAGCCGTTTCATTTCCTTTTACAAACACACACACATGGTATTTTATAAGATGTTAAATTGACATGGGGCTTAATGGCTTTAGCGCCTAGAAGGAAGGCAGTGTTTCGCAGTACGTGTTACTTTCAGGTGTGCAATGTGATTGAGTGGTGGGGGAGGGGTTGCATGGAATCCTAGCTATGTGCAATCCTGTATAAAATCACCTTACCTGCATCTGGGCCGAGATACTAGTGAATTAAATGCTCCCTTCGGCCAAGCGCCGTACAATAGTCGATGATAAACACTCTGGTGAAACAGTATAGTGTGTCTAATGTCGCACACACTTAAGATCGCTGCTGTTTCAACGAGGCGATAATCTGTAAATGCAGATCTTTTTAATACATACATCAAGGATATCGAAATGCGCAATATAAGTATTCTAAATTTATCCAAGCAACTTTTTTCTCCGCTCACAAATTTTTTCATGAAAGGCGTGACCTTTTGTTGGATAACATACAGACCAAAGATTGCAAAATGCTCCAGTAACAAAATCGAATTGTAAAAAGCGTTGCAATTGACAATAACTAATGCAATGTTTCATGATTCAATACTTACGTACCTTATTTTTAATCCCCGTTATTTGGCTTTTGGGGCTTTGGGATTTATTGATGTGATAAGAAAGAGGAAACAAAATTCACGGAAAGAAACTATTTTTTTTAAAAAGTCTGCTGACTATATTTTGATTTTTTTTCAATTGTATATTAGCATTAAAGCAGCTTGCTCTTCTCAGTATAGAAAATGCATTTAAGTGTAGGAAGTATTTTAATTCAGGGTAGAAATATTATGAATGAAAAGTGATTACGGTTTAGGACTTACTTTTTATAGGTTGAAAAGTTAATAGTCGCAGCCAAGTTTTGATCCTTATCTTAGTAAATATAAACTGAACCCAGTGACAAAAACATTATTTATTGTTGAACCTAGTGGCAAAGTTTACTTTATAATTTAGAGATTTAAAAAAATGTCCTTTAACTCAATGATCTTCAAATACCTCGTAAAGAACTCCATTCAAAAAACAAGTCCCATCATGGCTGTGTATAATGGACCACAGGCAATACAATGCGTTTTCGTTAATTATTCCATGTATAAAGCTGTACCCATTTGATTGTTATTTTAATAATGTTGGTTGGTCATAACAAGCCACCTTCCCACCCCTCCACCACCACCACCACCACCCTTCCCAGTTTGTGAATAGATAAGTGACACACAGTGCTAGATGAGATTTGACGTCGAAAATCGTGTCCACAATACAAATGACACTGTACTGCCATTCTGTGCAATGGGGTTCAGGAAGCAGACACAAACGCATATATAAATAGTTCTCGAGTCAATGTTCTGAAAATACTTATTTTCCACACAACATTGGAGCATGCTGCTGAAAGTACAAAGAATGAAGTAACCCTTAAAGCAGTTTGTAATGTCAGCTCTCAATTAAATGCTGTGTAGCATAATTGGCATTTCTATACCAGTGATCTCCTAAATAGAAAATATCGGACAAAGGACGTTGCTTTGTTACCAAAAAAAGTCTAATTTAACGGGTCAATTTATGCAAGGGATTTGCTTTCTATGATCAGAACTTAAAATTAGATCTCATGAAAATAAGAGTTTCTAATTTTCATTTTCAATAAATAAGACGTAAAAAAGCTAATTTTCAGTAAGGCAGGGCAGAGAGAGAGAGAGAAACACTGTATTATTATAATAATCCTTGCATTTGATATCGCTTTTCACATCTTCGAGACGCTTCAAAGCGCTTCACAGAATACACTGTAAAGTATTTGTGGGCGAAGCGTATTGGCGTTTTTCATCACGTGCATTGCAACTTAACCAAATATACTGATGTTTGGTAAAAATGAAAGGTGTATCCCAGGTCCAACCAAGCCAACAATGAACTCATAAAACTTCGTATATATGTGTGTGTGTGAATATATATATAGTTTTGTGTATATGTTATAAAGGGTGATAATATCTAATAAATCTTAAGGAAATTATATGTTTCAGATAAGAGGGTAGTTATTTGGTCAACCTGTATATATATCATATATAATATATACCCATATATACATACATATTATATCCAAAAGCATTCAGCTCCGTTTAAAAAAAACAGAATAATCATCTGGAATTGAATTAAAGCTGAGCGCATGTCTTGGGACACTTTAGAGATGTGTTTTGCATAAAACCATTTTGGAAACAGTGGAACGCTCCAAATAATCGTCCACTTGAGGTTCTGCCAAGGGGGGAATCGATTTTATATGTGACTTTTGGAAAAAAAACTGCTGTCCTACTCACCATCCCCCCCACCTTTTTTTTGCATGTGTGTATTGAAGCCGTTTAAAACGACATCGCTTTCATTCCTTTATGTATAGCAGCGTTTCGTCCCACTCATTTTCTTTTCCAAGCTTTTTAAGCTTTTAAGAGTGATTGCAGTAATTATTTCCTGACGAGTCTGCTTTTAGATGGGCTTGAAAGCTTGGGATTCGCAGCTTTGACAAGGTGGGATGGGGGTGTGTGTGTGTAAGGCGGGGGGGCGGTGGAGGGATAGAGAGAGATTTGCAAAGCTATCTTAAAACCTTTCCAATTTACCCATTAAACACTGTAATAACCACGAAGGTGCTTTTTTAAAGAAAAAATTAAAAAATAAACTGCATTTATTGCAAATACAAATGACTTGAACCTTCAAATGGGTGGCATTTCGTATCTAGGTCTTGATTAAATGTGATGTGTGTTTGGAAAACAGATAATCCATTTCTAAAAAAATAGCACTCTGTCCTCTTGCCCTTATTAAAGAGGGAGAGAGAGAGCGAGAGATGGAGCAGGTCATTTTAACCTGCTTTAAGGGATATTATGCTAGAGCAAAACGATATACCAATCTGATACATTTCTGTCTTTTTTTGTTAATCACAGGTAAAGATCTGGTTTCAGAACAAACGTTCCAAATTCAAGAAACTGATGAAACACAGCGGCGTGCAAGAAGGGGATCACTTGCCCACCACAGCCGCTTTGTCACCCTGTTCCCCCAATATCCCCCCTGTCTGGGACGTTTCCATGGCAAATAAGGGGGCTACTCTGCCACAGAACAGCTATATTAACAGTTTTGGATCGTGGTACCCACCTCCTCACCAGGACACCATGCCCAGATCCCAGATGATGTGATGAACTCAATCCAGCAATCTCTACCTTTAACCACCACTTTGCAGATTGTCCTCCCTGAACGAGAACACACACACACACACAAAAAGAAACACACAAAGCAAAAAATCGCGTGACGTGGGGTTTAATTTTGTGGACAAGAAAGAAAAAGAAAAAAAGACTCAAATTAGCTGCTGACTATCTTCTTTTGATCAACTCATTATTACCCCGATGAAGGTTTGCTCTAGAAAATGCAATGGAAATCTAGGTTCAAACGCCTTCAACTGGTGCAATGCGGGCTTAATATGAATTTCGAATTGAATTGGAGAAGTCTGAGACATCTAAAATCTACGTTGTGAATTGCAACCAAAAAAAACACAAACAAAAGGATAGTTTTTTTTCATATAGTTCTGTTAATGATCGTTTTTTTAAAAAAAATACTGTAACGCATTTTGGCTCCCCAAGACTCGCAATCTTCCTGGATGGGTTGGTTATGGACACGGGCTGTATTTTCAAAGTGCTTTAGTGATGGACTGTCACAATTTGAGTTTGAAGGCTTTTGCCGTATCGACTGGGATCAATGTCACTCTCGCTTGAATGGTCGATAAGTAGTTACCGATTGAGGCAAACGTTAGAGAGAACCTTATTTTTAATTAAAACGGTGTTCCGGTAACCGGAATATCAAACGATTTGTATTGCTCCCTTCAAAGTCATTATCAAGGTGTCTATGTTATCAGCGTGGGAACACGCACCGCCCAATCTTGGGATTAGTATTTTCGAGAGGAAAGGATTCGTTTTAGTGGGGGGGAAAAACGATCTGAGTTATTTATGGCCATTTATTCCCCCTCTCCCCCCAAAAAAGTTTGACGCAAAGCATAAACTCGTGAGCTGAGTTCATTTTTTTTCTATGCATCATTTTGTCCAAATTTCTAACGTTGCAACCAAGCGACTTGATAAATATTCATGCCAAGAAACCTTCAAAGAGAGAAGGGAAATTCTACCGGCCCTAGTTAGTTTTTTTTCACACGGGGAAACATTAAGAGATTTGTCAGCGAAAGGGGGTAGAGACAATTGTGGAGAATTGTATGTGTATTTTGGATACCGCTAACTGGACTCTTGGATTACAGTCTTATGTGGAGGAAAGGCATCGAATCGAGCTCATCCAAGCAATATGAAGGCAGAAAAAACGTGATAAATCCTGGAGCATAGAAACCACAGCACGTGTGTGTACATATATTGTTAAATTAGTTGTAAATAGTGCATATGTATTATGTCTCATTATTCTAAGTAATTAAACAGTGATAACCGTTCAAAGTATTCTATGTCGACCCGATTTGGATTATGTGATCTCTGGATTTCATCCTAGATTGACTCTGAGAGAAACGTGGCTTTTTTCAGGACATGGCAAATTGTTGAATTCATTAATAACTTTCATTTTAGTCCTTGAGAGAAGCTTACTTAACTACCGGCTTCGAAATTGCCACATCCTGTACTGGGCGCTCTGAAGTAATAATAATAATCCTTTGCATTTGATCTGGCGCCTTGTCACGTCTTCGAGACGTCTCAAAGCGCTTCACAGGAGATACTGTAAAGTGTAGCGATGCGTGTTTTGTAAACGCCAGATTAATAGAATAGCAACATGAACCTTGGTAGAATTTCTACCCCCTGGTTTCGGCATTAAAAAGAAAGACAATTCTAGTTTAGTGATCTGACAAAGGGAGCCGCGTAGGTTCAATCAAACTATTTAATTCATCCAACTTCCACCTCCACCGTTAATCATTTTGAGTCACCTCTTACCCAAGCGACGACTCAATGGTTAACGATACTTTTTTAATTTAAAAAAATCTATATATTTTTATTGCATTTGAAAAGACCTCAGTCATGGAGAAAACGGACTTACATTTTGTTTTTTTGTATGACCCCTCATTCCCTTGGTTGTTAAAAAAGGTACAATTTCTGCAACAACAACAAATATTATTACTTTTTTTAACTATTAAAAAAAACTGGACTATTTTTAAAAAAATAATCCAGTTGTGGTCTCCGAACTGGTAACCAAGATATTTCGGATGCATTTTTAATTATTTCGATGTAAGCGAGAGAGTTAACTTAAATTTAGAACAAGAAACAGTTAATAAAGATTTTTTTAAAAAAGGGATTCGTTATTCCTATTTCAATGATATCCGCATTATTATGTAGGTCTTGAGGCAAACGATGAAGTCTTTAAAAATATATATAATTTTCAATGAAGTGGATATTTTGCATTAAGTATTGCGGTTCATATAAGCGGAACCTGCGGCTTAGTTGCAAGAGTGACACCGATTATTATGTGAAAAAGCGGGTTCCCTGTCGGTCAACTGAGCCAATGCAAACCGAAGGGTTATGGTAGTAAATAGTAATAATAATTATTATAATTATTTCGATCCTTGCAATTGTTATAGCGCCCGATCACGTCGTTGAGACGTTTCAAAGCGCTTCACGGGATACATTGTAAAGTGGATTGACTTGTACATTATGCGGGTTAAATTGGCTGAGTTCTGTTGGACGCTGGACTTGAGGGAGATGACCTCAGCCCTGGTGACTTGGACGCGGGGAAGTCTTGTCCTGCCAGGGAGAGACTTGACGCTTATCTGAACGCTGTCCAGAAATAGCTACTGGAATGTCAGCTGTTGGATGTTGGATGGATGTGCAGCATAACTCAAGCTGGTTTGCAATCGCTCCCTATACGATGAGCCAACTTGGCGGTTGTTTGTTTTTGGGGCAAAGAGGCGCTGACAAGACCAATGTCATGAGAACCAGATGATTGTTCCAGATGAGTCAACGCTGTCAAGAGATGGGGGGATTTGCCGTGCATCTACAGTAATATATAAAGGAAAGTTTGTACTTATTGCACGCAATGAGAGAAGGATATAAGATAATAATTGGAGCAACTAACTTGCCTCTCCTTGGTTTAGGCTCAAATTCTACCGTTTAACCCATGGCAGGTACGAGCTCCCTAGGAATATATAGGACGTAAATATTTGAGACACTCTTTCTTAAAATAAAAACAGAATTCCCCATTTTTTTTTTGCTTGTGCAATCCCCTATATTCTGTGAAGCCCTTTGATGCGTCTGAATGAGGTGGAAAGCCGCTATATCAACGGCAAGGGTTATTATTATATTTAAAATAGTTCTGGAAAGTTTCAAAACTTGGGTTCGAATTCCGCCAACTTTTACAAAACAATTCTTTTTCTTTCTGAGATAAAGCGGTGGGAATGTTGTGGTCGTGTGAATGAAATGTCGTATGTCTGTCTTTCAAAAAAAAACACAAGACTATCTTATTTGAGTCTCTCGCAAAACATTCACGCGACGGGTTTTCTAACTTTTTTTTGCTGTGGGAAAAAAATACCCCCAACAGCATCTCTAAAAATTTGGGGGGCAATGGAGCTGTTTTTTTAAATTGAATGTTAATGTCCAGTCAATCTCGCAGGTCTGTCTGTGGTCGACGGAACAAGCATATAAAAAACGCCCCTTTCGTAGGTGATTGATTAAGTGATAACATATAAGTGTCGATTGTTAGGTCGGGATAACGGGTTTCTGTGCCTGTAGGCGCGACTGATTTTGGTTAACTATTTTTTTCACATAAATGTGGAAGTGAATAAATGTCTATCGCTGCTCAAAGCTTGACAGATACACCTGTCATGAACATTCCTCCTATAACTTACCACGTGTTCCAGATCTCTGCTGACCAACAATGACAAATATATATGAATTCAGACCCATGTCCATTTATTTTTTGGGGAAGTGGAAATCAGTTAACAAAACCGTATAACGCATTATAGTGCATTAAAACCCAATCTGGCTATGCCTCCCCCCCCAAAAAAAAACGCATGTGCGGAGTCCACCTCTGTGCAATTTTCAGAGAACTTTTGTTGTCAATAGGCTTGTGTGAAAGGGATTGTAATTAGGGCAATTTTGAAGGTGGCTCCCTGAAATAAAAGCGCTCTCCATCAAGATAATTACCAGCAATTTTCAGTCAACTAAATGAACGCCTTAATATGTGTGTAACAAAAAAAACACAGAGACAGAAAGAGAAAAGGGGGGAAAATAGCAAATCAAGGGCAGATGCACTGGCTTGTGTCTGCTCAGTCTCAAGTTTATTAATCCAAATTCTTTGCAGGTGTGTATAATCATCAGGAAAAAAATACTGATAAAGGCGAAAGGAAGGCCGCAAGGACATAAAAAGCATATGAGGAAATCTCCACTATCAACAAAGGTATTTTATTCCCAGGGGACTTTTACATATTAATATGCAATACTATCACCGCTGTATCTTGTGTTGCATGTTAAATACATAGTTACTGCACCTCGGTTTCTATAGTGATGGATAGTTTATCTAATTGTGATTTTGATATATGCTAAAACAAATCGTTTGGTAGAAAATTGGAATGATTTCACTGGGCTGTATGTTTTTGCTCATTCGCGTTTGTTTTGAGATGGGGGGTGGGGGAGGCTGAATGGGCGAATGAGGGTGAGTGTGAACGAGGCATGGAAGCCAAACGTAAAATGTTGCTAAAAGGTCAGAGCGGAATGACACCGTTTGCGACCCTTGAGTAGCTCGTCAAGAAAATGAACATAGGAACAGGAGAAGGCCATTCAGCTCCTGAGCCTGTTCCGCCATTCTATTAGATCATGGCTGATCTGTACCTCAACCCCAATTAGGGTGGTGAAAGGTGGGTGATTCAAGCCACCACAATCCGGTTTCCGGCATAAATACGTCTAAAAGGTGCATTTCCGGAAAAAGATTCCCTTTATTCCACGGGTATTATTATAGATGCATTGCAATTAGTTTTACTCACACACACAAACAAACATAGACGCACAACCCCTCTCCCACCACACCACCAATGCTTGCAATCACCAAACACCAAACCGTGGTCATTGCAAATGACCCTCTAGTTAGGCAATTTCACTCCAGTTTGGTAACAGCAAATCAACGAGGTGAAAAGGCGCTGATCAAATTCAAGGATTATTATTACTATTAGTATTTAACAGCAATCAGAAGCAAAGTTGTAGGTGAACAAGTAGCACTAAAATTCCATCTAAATGAACCTGGATTCAGCGGAAAATCATCAGCTTTTCTCATGAATTCCAATGCATTCACGTCAATGAAAAAAAACTCGAAAAAATGGCCTTAAAGATTGCAAAGCTAAGACATTGTGTCTGTGTGTGTATATCCCTCCCAAAAGGGAGCAGTAGGTGTGTATTTTTTTGCCCCCCCCCCAAAAAAAGAAACTTTATATCTTGGCTGATGTAATGTAGCTATTGGGTTTCCCCACTGACCCTTCACACAGAAACTACTGTATGTCATCTGAACACTTAGTTGATATTTCTGACCGATTCGAAAACAGAGATCTCAGAATAGGCTTTAACGAATCGACCAACAACATAAGACGCGATTGGAGAGTGGGGGGGAGGAGGGGAAAAAAATAAGGTCATTCAATAGATTTACTGAGGTTACAACGTGCTCAGAGGAGAACAGATTACCACAAACAACCACACGGGTGAGCAGAATGCAGAAGACACAACGTTATACTCCCAGTCTTACTGTCATTTCTGGGAATATTGCAAACACCTGGATGCCATTTCTGTCCATTTCCAAGTTGAGATTTCTTAACTCGAATGGGGAGAGACAGGAGAGAGAGAAAAAAGTCATTTTAGCGAGCACGAAAAAANCACAAGTTAAGGGTATGACTTACCTGTTGTGGATGAATTTTTTAACTTTTTTTGTAGACAGCAAAGAATATGTCAATTAACAGCTTTGACTGAAATACCTTTTTAAAAAAACAAAACACACGGTAGAAAAGGGTAAGGGATGAAAAGCACCAACGCCGACACTGCTATCTCTAGGTAAAACTCCAAGTGTGAATTAATTCTGCTATCAGCGTCCCCCTTTATATTCCCAACTCAATTAGCTTTTATTACTGGCCATGCTTACTCGTCGAGAGATGGGATAAAATGTGTTGAATAGAGAAATTGCTCATCTTTGCAAATTATAGGTAATTTTAAAGCTTGAGATTATAATAATAGCAGTCCAATCTGGACAGCTTACGTAGAGTCTTCCAAACAGCATAATTACCAGAAAGGTTTAGCAACTCTAGAGAACTGAATTCATTATTTACTCTCCTCTTTGACGAACTTGGGGTTGTTTGATGAATACAAATCGTAGAGATATAATTACAGTTAGGATTAATTCTCTCTCTCTCTTAGAGGCCCCCCTGGCACAAACATATATGTACTCCAGTAAATCTGGGAGGTTTACCGTCTCGCCAAA